AAACGGCCATCACACGAGCAGACAAGTGGGGAGACGAGGCAGCAGCGGCACAGAAGCCTCAAGAAGAGGAGCAGAGAGAAGCGCAGAAGCGCAGTGGAGAGGAGCACAGAAAGCAAAGCAGGCAGAGAGAAGCACAGAGAAGCACAGAAAGGAGAGTGGACAGGAAGAAGAGAAGAAGAGCAGAGTTGCTGAGAAGTGGAGAGAAAAGAGCAGAGAACAAGCAGATTGATCAGCAGAGCTCAGAGAGCAAAGAGGAGAGCAAGAGAAGAGGGCAGAAAGAGAACCAAATCCCCTCTAGGTAGACTGGGATAGCTTCGGAACGCCTGGGACCGGGCGATCGCTCAACGTCCGATCCGGTTCCGGACCATGCAAGACCGACTTCGTACACCTATACCAGGACCATCCAAGTCCGGTGGTTTTGGGACACCTCCTTCCTCACCTCGAATCGAGGCTATGGACATAGACACCTCGACTGGTGTCGGTCCTGGTAGTGTTGCAAAAGCTTCAGGTCGCATGACACCACCCCAGAACTTCGATCTTGTGGCGGCCTCTCTGAGGGCCTTCCGCCGTGCTTGGGTTTTTCCTTCCCACCCAACACGTGATGCGTTCCACCCCCCCCGGTCTCTCGCGGCTCTCCGCGTTGCGTCTCCTCGCCCGCTGCCGACCACCCTCTCGAGGCCGAGGGGCCCAGCGAACTCCCCCGTGGCGTCGGCCTCGCGCACGCGGCGGCCCTTGCCGATGCGGCGCACGCAGCGGTCGCCGCCGCTGCCGACGCAGCTGACGGACTCCACCTCGCAGCTGACGGGGGTCGCCGGCGGCGGTGCGGGTCCGAGACGAACAGCGCCGGTGAGTGGGGCGGTCGGGTGGTCGGATGAGTGGGGTGGGCTTGGGTGTGGTTTTTGGTGGTTTTTGCAGGTTTTGTTGATTTTTTGCAGGAACTTTGGCCTCATCAAGTTCAAGCAATCGCTGTAAAAGCATGTGCACCGACCGCACTTCTCATGATCTCCTCATGATCATCGGGCGCTCGCCTTGGAAAAGCCTGAGATCGCCGTGCAACTGTGCCGCCATCGCTTGAACGATCCACGTGGAACACAGAAAGGCAGCCGGTGTTTTCCAACGGAAAACCACCATAACTTGTGATCAGTGCTCCACCACCCTCGTCATGCGTCCCATCGGTCTGTGTAAGGTCACGGCATAGGTCTGGAGCTTGCCACCGTCCGCGCCCGTCCGCTCCCATCCAAGACCCTTGATCCTGTTTCATTGAGAAGACTTGCAAACCTTGTTGGTCGAGGATCAAAGCACAGCTTGTTGCTTGGGAGGGAACCCCCCATTTTGAAGGACACCCATCTTGGGAATGGAAACTAAAAAACTAACACACACAATCATCCGCCACACTGTGAGACTTGAATCTTTGACCATCTTTACCCCTCTCTCCCCTGTTTAAAAACAAGACCCAACCAGCAATTCCTGTCGTGGCCTCCACTAGACCCAGACCTCCGAACTGGCTGAACACCACCCGGCTGAACACCACCCGCCCCCACTCCACTCCACCGGCCTCGGCGAAGCCCTTGCTCTGTCGCCCCGGAGCGGCCCCGTTCACCGCCGCCACGAGGTCTCCTGGGGCCTCCAGCAGCCGCCGGGCGACCTCGCGGCGGACGGGAGACGGGCAGAGGCGGAGGGCCCAAGAAGGCCGGGGCTAGTTTGGAGGTGATCAAACGCCAGTCACTGGGCCAGTCTAGGAAAGCACTTCTCTCCTGCAGTTGCATGCTACTTCTTTGTCATCTATTTTTGGACTTTAGATGTTCCTTTCAACTGCTCCTCGCGAATCTCTCTCCCATGGTTTCAATCGAACGGGGCAGTGTTGCGGCTTGCAGCCAGAGCTCGTTCTTCCCAGCAAACATTGTTGCAGCTGAGTCGCACAGGGACGGAAGATGATGTCACCATAGCCTCAGCAAGTGTGGCAGACGTGCGCGTGTGGCTGACGAGGTCAGACCTAGACATTCTCCTCCCGTGGATGACGCTTAAACGCTGAAGCTCAAGCATTTGAGCGTTTAAGGCGATGGCCCAAACTGCCGCCGCCGCCTGCTCAGCCCAGGCACAGACGTACAACGGACCAGGCCCCACCATGCGCAAGGCCAAGCGTAAGCTCTCCAACATGCCAGTGCTGTTAAAGTCGGGACAGTCAATCCTCACGGGGACGGACAGAAGAACTCTCCAGGCCCGGCGGGCGCATGGGGTCGGCGCCCAAAACCACCGGTCGGGGTCGGGGTGGGAAAAGCTGAAGACCAATGAGGCGGAGAACTTGAGGCCAAGGGGGGGGGGCGAAAGCTAGCGCTCCAGAATGGGAAAGTGGAGGGCAGCGAGGTAGGAAAAAACACGGCGCTCTTTTTGGAGGCAGGGGTGAAGAGTCCTTTATATGTGGTTCTTTGCCCGGATCCTCCTGCGAGAGAAGAGAGAGAAGAGAGACGGAAAGACGAGAGACAGAGAGGAGAGAGAGAGAGAGAGAGGAGAGAGAGATGAGAGAGATATGAGAGAGATATGAGAGAGATGAGAAAGAGAAGAGGGAGAGATGAGAGAGATGAGAGAGAGATGAGAGAGAGATGAGAGAGAGATGAGAGAGAG